TTGTTTGTATAAATTAACGTATTATATTATTAAAAATTTGTTTTAATTGTATACTAGAAATTTATTTTAATTATATATGTTATGAAATATTTGTAATTGACTATTTTTTCAAGAAGTTTTTTTGATAATTTTATATGCTTATAAGATAGTTTTTGTCAAACATAATTTGTTAATCAACTAGCTTATTAGTTAACAGTTAGTTTATCAGTCATCATTTAGCTTATCAGACGCTATCGAGAAGACGAAAAAGAATATGGGCCACAAATTCATTATTTAAAAAATAACATAAAAAATTAAAAATTAAGATAATTATCATTTTAAATTGGATAAATCTTTAAAAATCTAATTTTTAGATTTATTTATTTTTTAATTTAATAAATTCATAATTATTTTATAAAGTTTTATATAATTTTTTTTCTAGATATACTTTGATAAAAAAAATCAAAAGTTTCGTCAAATATCACATGTGATATCTACAATATAATCTTTTTCACCATTTTTTTCTAATTTTTGGATCTACATTTTGAATAACATGTGATAAACTTTGTTTAACATTTGATCTATTAAATATCACATATGATCTATATGATCCACTATGTAAAATTTGTACATATCACATATGATAATTTGTGTCTAAATATAAGTGACCTATCATCACATGTGATAATATTTACATCACAAAAATATTTATAAATATAAATACACATAATCACATATGATTAACAAAAATGTATACGATTAACAAAAATATTTACAATTATCACATATGAATTGATAGTAGATATTAGGGGTGCTCAAAAACCCGATGAACCCGACCAACCCAACCCGAATTTTTTTTTAAAAAAAACCCAACCCGAGGTAACCCGATGCATGATCGATAAAAAAATTAGCCAACCCGACCTTATTGGGTTGGAATCGCGTCAGACCCAAAAAAAACCGACCAACCCGACAACCCGATAAACCCGACCTTAACTTTAGCTTTGAATTGTAGATGACAATCATGACATGACCAACCTCAACGTCAAGAAAGCGAAAGCATCGGGGTTGGAAACGTCTAAAACTATTGTTGTTGATTGATGTATTATCATTTGGTTTAAACATTTTTATTGTAATATCTATATATTTGATGAACTTGCATATTATCTTGAATGGTCGGTTGTATTTCAATGGAAAGTTTTCTTTATTTTTATGTGATTTTACATTGTTTAAACACAACCCGATCAACCCGAACGGGACAGGTTGGGTTGGGTTGGGTTGAACTTTTGTTTGGGTTGGATTGGGTTGAAAATTTTCAAACCGCCAACATTGGGTTGGGTTGTTAAAACGGCTCCAAACCGATCAATCCGGGCCGTGAGCACCCCTAGTAGATATCACATGTGATATTTGATAAAAATTATGAAATTATTTTATCAAAAGTGTATCTAATTTTTTTTATATAGAACTTGATTAAAAAAGTTATTAATCAATTAAAATTAAAAAATAAATAAATCTAAAAGATATGATGAGATCTTTAAAAATTTGTCTAAATTAAATGACAATTATTCTAATTTCAAAAATTATTTTTCATTCTTATTTATGATATTTTTTAGGTAATAGATTGTGTGACTCATATTGCATTTCTCTTTCTCGCAAATTGATCGTATTTTTGTTTGAACGTGCCCCCATATATATATATATATATATATATAGAGAGAGAGAGAGAGAGAGAGAGAGAGAGAGGAGAGATGTTTTGAAAACAAAGCCATTTGTCAAACCGCGAAAACCGTCGATTTCATTGTTTATTTTAGTAAAATACTTCATGAAATTGTTTAATATGATTAAATTGTCATATAATTCATTTCAAATAATTATGGACATTATCATCTTCATTATGTTGATTATAGTAAACAAATTTCATCAAAATCGAGAAATACATGAAACAAATTTTAATTTTTACATATAAACCAAAATATATGAAATATTTTTTTATCAAGAAATGAATTATTTTGAAACAATTTCATCATATTAAACAATTTCATAAAAAAAATTCACTAAAATAAATAATAAAATCGACGATTTTCACGGTTTGTACAAATAAATTGGTTTCCATTTAAGTCATTTAGGTAATTAATAACCTTAAATGAACTTTTAATTAAATTCTTTGCAAGATAATATTCCTGATGAATAATACATTGGTGATGAATATGAAAATGTTATTTATAACATATTTATTATAAATATGGGATAAATAAGAATAGATAATTGTGATAAATATATTATGTGTGGTTTTGTAATCAGTTTTACGTTACTGTAAATATGGACGTATTATTTTGGTAACATGTACAGTCAGACCAAAATCCGTACAAATTAGCTTTTTAAGGTTAATGTAATTAATTTCTACTATGTTTGTGAACTGAAGCTAAGAAAGGAGAACCAGATCAAAGGAATACCGAAAGCAATAAAATTGAAAGAAACAGAAGAACTAACAAATGAAGCAGTCACGACTACAGTCAGGCGAGCCATCGGCTTCTACTCCACCATTCAAGCTCACGATGGCCACTGGCCTGCGGAATCTGCTGGCCCCTTGTTCTTCCTTCCTCCACTGGTAACCCATTGTCTTCATCTCTTCTTTATATATATTATTGGAATCTCTTTTATCTCCTTGATCAAAGAGCTCTTTTGGAGAATAATTTGATTTGGATCATGAATCACACATGCAGGTGATAGCACTCTATGTGACAGGAGCCATGAATGCTGTTCTAACACCTGCACATCAACTAGAAATCAAACGCTACATATACAATCATCAGGTATATATTTCTGTAATATAATTTACGATTTTGTAGTTTCATTGGGGTGGGTTCAATTCATTGATCATAGCTAGTTTCATAATCACAGAATGAAGATGGAGGTTGGGGATTACATATAGAGGGTCACAGCACCATGTTTGGATCGGTTGTTAGTTACATTACATTGAGATTGCTCGGAGAGGAAGCCGATAGTGATGCAGAAGATATGGCAGTGGTTAGAGGCCGTAAATGGATCCTTGACCACGGTGGTGCAGTCGGGATTCCTTCATGGGGAAAGTTTTGGCTTACGGTCCGTTTCTCGACACCTAATACTTAAATTCCTACATATATTATCGTACATGGGGTGGGGAGGGTTCAAAATGGAAAGAAGAAAAAAGTTGGAAACGTGAAAACATGAAAAAAAAGGGATAAGAGAGTATAACAATATTGTGTTTATAAATTGCGTATCTTTTGTAGATACTTGGAGTACACGAGTGGGGAGGCTGTAACCCTATGCCACCAGAATTTTGGCTCCTCCCTAAGTTTTCCCCAGTTCATCCAGGTCAGTTTTGTTCTAGGCCGGGTTTAAGATTTATGGTTTAGCATCTTATAATTGTTTATAACTCATATATATAGTCATCAACCCATGATAAAATCTAACTATCGGTGTCTTTAACGTACAAATCACAGGCAAAATGTTGTGTTATTGTCGCCTAGTTTACATGCCGATGTCGTACTTATATGGCAAAAGATACGTGGGAAGAATAACTGGACTGGTTCAAGCGCTAAGGCAAGAGCTTTATACAGACCCTTATCATGAGATTAATTGGAATAAAGCGCGCAATACTTGTGCAAAGGTTTGCTAATTAATTTATCTTGAAAACCTTCAAATTTATAGTTTCAAACTCCCAAAAAATACAAAATATGATGTAATCGATTATGTATTTCAGGAAGATCTTTACTACCCACATCCTTTTGTTCAAGACATGGCATGGGGCATCCTTCATAATGTTGTTGAACCTATATTAACACGTTGGCCGTTTTCCAAGCTACGAGAAAAGGCCATGAAAGTTGCAATGGAGCATGTTCATTATGAAGATCTCAGCAGTAGATATCTTTGTATTGGATGTGTGGAAAAGGTATTTGTTTCTATTACAGTCCCATACCTGCTAGGCTTCATTTCTGCTTATATATATATATATATGATATGATATGATATGATATGATATGATATGATATGATGGCACCTTCTTGTCTATTTGATAATCTTTTTTGAGAGTAATCTAATGGGTTTTCACATATCTCACCGTTTCTATAAGAGAACTCTCTTACTTGATTAGTTTTCATAAGTATAACAAGGAAAAATCATTTTACAAGGTGTTATGCTTGATTGCAACCTGGGTAGAAGATCCGAATGGGGATGCATATAAGCGTCATCTTGCACGAATCCCTGACTACTTTTGGGTTGCTGAAGATGGGATGAAAATGCAGGTACTTAACGAGTTAACTTAACTTTCTTGGCGTTCTTCTTTCCGGTTCATCTTTTTGTTTTCTGTTCCACTGTTTTCCTTGAATATACATGTTAAATGTAGATTTCTTTCGCAGAGTTTTGGCTGTCAAATGTGGGATGCAGCATTTGCTATTCAAGCTATTTTGTCAAGTAATCTAGAAGAAGAATACGGACCAATGCTTAAAAAAGCACACGACTTTGTAAAATCCTCACAGGTAATTAAGCATATATACTTGGCTCTTTCGCTACAACAAAATTGGTTTTTCAGAAGTGTCCTGTAAACTTGTCCTGTTAAAAGATGTATTCATATGACATTTTTCCGAAGTGTTGAGTAAAGTAAAGAAGCTAACGAAGACCCTTTATTTTTAAAACGTCCTAAAAACCAAATACATTCTAACATCCTATTGTAATACATGACACATAACTGTTTTGTGACATATAGACACATTTGACGTCATATTAAACAAATTTTCTTATAGTGTTGATCTAGGTTCTAAATGAACATATACATATATGCATCAGAAACTGTATACATACTTGATCTTTCTAGGTTCGAGATAATCCGCCTGGAGATTTCAGTAAAATGTACAGACACACTTCTAAAGGAGCATGGACGTTTTCCATGCAAGATCACGGTTGGCAAGTTTCTGATTGTACCGCAGAAGGCTTGAAGGTTCGTATTTAACTATATCAACTAATCAAATCTTGAAAATGGTATAGGAATCTACGTTCTTGTTTATTGAGGTATCTGTTACAGGTTGCCCTTTTGTACTCCCAAATGAGCCCAGAACTTGTGGGCGAAAAATTTGAAACAGAGCGCCTCTGCGATTCTGTCAACGTTATTCTTTCTTTACAAGTATGTCATCAAGATTCTTCTGTAAATTATACATTGGCACTGACTTATTTCCATTTTCGGTATCATATGAATTGTGTTACATGACTGATGTTATCTTCGTTAAATTCGATTCAGAGTGAAAATGGCGGTTTTCCAGCTTGGGAGCCACAGAGGGCATATTCTTGGTTAGAGGTACAATATGATTTAACTTCGAGAAACACCAGAGAGATATCGGCATATAGAATTTCTGATCCCCTAATTGTAAGTTCGTTATGGATTGCAGAAGTTCAATCCAACGGAATTTTTTGAAGATGTATTGATCGAGCGAGAGTAAGATTTGCACCTTAACCAATGCTAATTTGCTTGATAGAATCTTATAAACTCATTGTATAAATTTATATAGAATGCACAATTGTTTGGTTCTATAAACTTTAATCTTATTAAACAGTCTGTTGGGACACCTAAAACTTAGGTATCTAACGCGTCATGGAACTAGCAACGATCATCAAGTTTTGAGAGACTAAGATGAAGAATTATTCATGTTGTTTTAGGTATGTGGAATGCACTTCATCTGCAATCCAAGGTTTGACACTCTTCAAGAAGTTGCACCCTGGACACAGAACAAAGGAGATTGAACACTGCATTTCGAGAGCTGTGAAGTACATCGAAGACACTCAGAATCTTGATGGTTCATGGTACGTTTTCTGCTACTTCAGGTCGTCGAATACCTTCCACTTTGGAAGCACGAGGGCAGTTATGTCATACAATATCGTATACATATTCTATGCTGCACTCCTCCAGAACGTAGCACGATTGGTTTAGGGTCAGGGGTGGTATATTTGCTCAAATAGGCGAAAATTCGAGTCTGACAATCGCACTATAGGAGTTACAATTCCTTTGGGGATTGGACTCCTCGTGGACATGCATTGGACTCTTAAACCAGTCACCTAGCAGACTGCTACATGAGAACTTGACTTCCTCTCATAATGCTGTTGGGGTTTAGGTTGCTGGTTATAACCCTTTACAATGTTGTATGTAGGTATGGTTGCTGGGGAATTTGTTACACCTATGGTACATGGTTCGCAGTAGATGCGCTAGTAGCGTGTGGACACAACTATCGTAACAGTCCCACCCTTCAAAAAGCTTGCGAATTTTTGCTTTCGAAACAACTCCCAGATGGTGGATGGGGAGAGAGTTATCTTTCAAGCTCAAATAAGGTATGATGATTAAGAAAACATCTATATATATATATATATATATATATATATATATATATGTATGTATATATATGTATGTATGTATATATATGGTTTTCTTGACATAAGAACTGTCTTAATCTTTCTCTACAGGAATATACGAATTTGGAGGAAAATCGGTCGAATTTAGTACACACATCATGGGCTTTGATATCTCTTATGAGAGCTGGACAGGTTTGTTCGATCCTGATGCTGCTTGTTTAGGCCTATCCAGTCGCATTGTTTCCGTTAGTCATATGATAACATTATTTGTACAGCATTTGTTCAAAGAATGCCGTATTAAAATCTAATAAGACATCTTATTTAAGTAGTCCTAGAAAAACTTGTTTGCATACCCAAAAACGTTTTTTCAACAACTTCTAATATATTTATATATATATATGACACACATATATTTCGTTCTATAAACTTAAATCCTATATAAAACAGTCTATTTGAATATCAGACATTTTACGTATCCTAGCTATAAAACCAATTTTGTTGTAGTGCGATAAATGTTCTGATCATTCGACCCATTAATATGTTTTGATTTTGCATATTATGGATAGGCCGAAATTGATGTTACACCGATAAAACGTGGCATACGACTTCTCATTGATTCACAAATGGAAGAAGGAGACTTTCCTCAACAGGTTCTTCATTTCAATTCATCCATGGTTTTCGTTCATAAACTTTCTGCATTTCAAGTTCCACAATGGGATTCAGTGCCTCTTAAACATGTCTAATTTCTTGGGATTAATTGCAGGAAATCACAGGAGTGTTCATGAAGAATTGTACCCTCAATTACTCATCATATAGAAATATCTTCCCCATATGGGCTTTGGGTGAGTATCGTCGTATCGTTTAATTTGCATGAAGTTTTCGATGATTATATTACTTGTCTTTTCGTTTCATTCCTCTTCGTGTATCGAATGGCATTACGTTAAGATGTAAAATAAGGACGACATTGTAATATGTATCTATAAAATTGGAATTGTGAAACATGTTGTCCGGTCGTTCAGTTTGTGTGCAATTGGTGTTATATTTGAATGTATTGCATCATTTACCTTAAGTGAATCGAGAATAATCAAATGGCTTTGAAATAACCATTTAAATTAATAGAGTCGAGTGCTAGGTCGAGAAATTTCCAATCACTGCCATGGTTAAGGTATGGTGGTGTGGTGGCATCAAGGTTCTAAATTGTGTGAGGCACGCGTGACGAAAAGACCAGACCTCAAGCCTTAGGAGTTGCAGCGAGATTACAGTGATTTTCAAGGTAGAAAATTTCTATATCATATATAATATTATATATATATATATATATGTGTGTGTGTGTGTTTTTTATACTATTACTCACTTAGTCAATGATAATTAGGATTTATATAAAAAACTAGCAAGTAAAAAATTAAAAATGTAAAGATAAATAAAAAATCATGCTACCAGATGGGTTGTCGCACATCAATTAGACTTGAACTATTTTTTCTCTATTATGTTGAAACATTTCTTCGCTCCTCAAGAACTCTTTTTGAGAGTGATTGAGGGCGCTACGTATTCTCACACTCAGTTATGTTTGGAGTAGCTAGAGCAAGTACGACTCACATACTATGCTCAATGGACTTGAATTATGCTTTTTATGGGGTGAAGACCAACCAACCGAGACTATGAGGCAGGATTTGATGAGGGTCGGACCCTGGTCATTGAGCCCCATGTTATTGCTTATTATAAAAAGAGTAGATTACAAAAATGACTCTTGTGGTTTGCCTGTTGAAGCTATGATTTTCATCGTTCATCTTCATTTATTATAAATCTATCCTTATTGTTTGTATTTTGTTTTGGATTTCGTCCCTTACTCGCACGTGCCTCTCACATGAGGGCATTTTAGTATTCTTTTTCCTTGTTAAAGCCAAGAAAATCAAGAAACCACTTCCTCTCTCTCTTTCCAACCCTTTGCCACCAACAACTATGCTGGTCCTCTTCCTTATTTTTTCTGGCGGATTTCCGGCAGGAAAATAATGTTTTTTTAAAAGAAATAAATCCGCCGGAAAAAATTAAAAAAAAATTAAAGAAAATTTAAAACATAGAGAAAAATCATTTTTAAAATTTAAAATACATTAACGGACCGTATTGGGCCTTAACGGATCGTATTGGACATTAATRTATCGTATTTGCTTTAACGGACCGTATTGGGCCTTAATGGATCGTATAACATTAATGAATTGTATTGGGCTTTAACGGACTTTTTAAAATTTAAAATACATTAATGACCGTATTGGGCCTTAACGGACCGTATTGGGCTTTAACGGATCGTATTGG